TTTTTATTTTATTTTGTATTTTTTGTGTATCCTTTAATTGGTCATTTACATCCCCACATACTTTCAGTAAAACATACATTTAATTTAACGCTAATTTTGGTTAATTTGCAAGTCATTAATATTATTTCCTGTTTTATGGATTTATGCTTTATACGATCAATTTTGTCCACCATAATTATGGCATTAAATTTAAAAATGGCTAAATATTCAAAAGGCATGTTGACCGTTTATGAGTCTTGATCATTCTAGTCCTTTATTTTGTACGTGTATGTTGCCTAATATTATGCAAATATGAGTTCAAATTATGTATTCACATTCATTTTATATATATGCGTGCTATATGTTTATAGATGTGTAAACCTATTTAATATCATACATGTGTACTTTATAATGTATATATTATATGTCTTATGCTACTGTTTTCACAATAACGTACGTCTATATACATATTAATGGCATATTGGTATCTTAATCCCTTAGTTGAAGATTTAGTGTGTATGAAAAGGTTTATTTAAATATATTTGTTTGTATGAAGAATTTTTTGCATAACATCACTTAGCATAATTTGTATGATATCCTCACGAGCATAACTTGACTCCTATCACATAATCGGATTAAGGGTAATACCTTTTAAATTTAAAATTGTCTTGAGTGGCTTGTCTTAACTCATTAGAGGGTCGTTTTGACGATTTTAAATAAAAAGTGTATCCCGAAAGTGAAACCTAAAAAATTGATTCGTCACCTTAAAATTTGGGAACGAAAGAAAAGGAAATGTTCGGTTATTTAAATTTTTTGAGAAAAGATTGTTACAACTCGTCTAAGATCTGGTCTCGATATTTTTAAATAATCGAACATTCTTTATCTTTCTAACACGACTCGATAATTTTAATTTAATTTATTTAGGTGCTTTTGAGTATTATTAAATTCACATTTTTGTTTTATGGGATCAAAAATCAAATTAAGTTTGAATTTGTAAAGTTCATTGCAAAGACATTAATTAATCGACTAGGTATCGATTTAGGGTGTTGTAGGGGTGCTAATCCTTCCCAACACGTAATCGACTCCCGAACTCATTTTTGGTAACGCAGACCTCAATTTATTATTTTAATTAAAATTAATTTTTATTTAAAATGACAAAACGTTTTTGGGTGCCTAATCACACCCTAATCAAATATTGGTGGCGACTCCTCGAACCATACGTTTTTATTTTTAAGGAATCTCAAATTTTTCAAAACGAGATATTTTTTAAATCACATTTGTTTTTAAATTAAAAATCAATTGAAAAAAGATAATTAAAAATGTGTGGTTTTAAAATCTCGCCTTTTAAGAAAAAAAGCGTTTCAACACCCACCATCTAGTTATATCAATTAATTTCATTCTTTTCTTGGATGAGTGTTCACACTTGATATGGTAAGAATCCTCCATAAATTTTCTGATTTGTTATCTCTTTCTATATCTACCAAACTCATGTGATCATCTTTCGGTATAATGTCACTTTCTATATATGCACTTGTAGTGTGAACAGACTCTCTAGCATTCTCCAATTGATAGGCCAAGTCTAGTGGTTTTGGCAAGCCCAATATTTCATATTGAACCCCTTTGATAGACTCTTGTGCCAAGGTCCTGAGCCCAATCTCGCGGACCATGACATTCTCTCCCACCATACTTAGCTACGCCCTCTTTGTTCCACTCAAACGATCCTGGGCTCCATCACCTTGGATGTTTCCCGCTGTCTTAGCTTGATGTGATTTTTCCATGAGAACTGCTTGCCTTGGCTCATACCATAATGTGACTCTACAGTCCTTCGTGACATTCTCCAAATCAACTTGGTTGTGCAACACCTTGATTTTGTGGCTTCATTCCACAAGGACTGCCCCCAATAAGACTGCTTGCTTTGGATTTTACCTCCAAGTGATATCACCGTTAGGTACATCTCCCTTGTAGGATCCTTCTCCAAATCGAGGACTTATTCATGAAATGGGTGGACGACAACCTTGGTGCCAAAGGAGATGGGACATGTGTATTAATTAAAACATTATGTGACTTCAAGAAAACACCAAACCTTTTCACACTTAGCCGAACCATCACCATGCCTTTTTGACCACCCCCTTTGTTCCCTATAAATAGCCAAGCATATGGCATTTGCAACACAACTCATTACATTCAATAAATATTATTCTTGTGAGAATTTCGCTTTATTTGTTCTTTCTTGAACTATATCAAATTATCAAGCTTTGTACTTTGACGTTAACCTTTTCTTTGATACTTGTGGTTCATGATTTCATAACTAGAGGGTGTGAGTCCTTGTTTCAACGTTCAAAGGTCTTATAAGATTCGAGTTTCTGCTCTTTAACATAGGTCCTTCCTTGATCTAAAAATCATCTATCCCTATTTCTATCATTTACCAAACGTCCTTCTACCATCTATCAACTGAAGTTAAACAACTTATCATTCTCGTTTGGACTATTCATATTTAACTAATATGAATAAAAATATTTATTAGTTTTATAGTTAAAAATATGAAACACACAAGTAATATGTAAGAAATTTATTATTTAAAGGAGTTTTTTTTTTTGAACTCGATTGGCATTAATGATAAAATAAAATGTTATTCTCCAAGAAGTTTTGGTTTAAAGCAAATGCATTGTTAATAAGTTAAAAAACGTCTAATAATAAATTAAGAAAGCATATAAACAGATATTATCTTATAAATCACTTCAAACTATCCAAAAAATAATTAATTATAATTTTAGGTAAATCACATATTTAGTCACTCATCTATTTTCACAGTTTCATTTTGATCACATAATTATTTTTTAAGAATCATACTTAATGTTAAGTTTTGGTTCCGTTTTGATCACATGTTATTAAAAAATAAACAGAACTACTAACGTGACATTTTTCTATTTTTCAATGATGACATGCTGTTATTTTATTGTGACACATCAACATTATCTTAAATTTTCTAACAAAAAATAATCGAAACATAATTAAAATATAAATTTAAGTATATATATATTTTTAAAATAATTAAATAATTTAAAATAAAATTGCATGAAAAAGTAAGTGATTAAATACTTAGTTGAAACACAACTGTTGAGGGTTCCACCTACTCTTGCATTGGATATATTGAATGAGGATAACGGTTGAATCTTAGTGATGAGTTTAGTCTTGTAGTTGTTTGGATTGATTTTATATCTGGTATCTGGTTCTTTATTCTTTCTTTTTTTTTTTTAAGTATACAAAATGTGTCCAATTTATGTTAGTTTAGTGTATAATATTTTTTCTTCGTTCTAATTTAATATCTAATGTTTCATTCTATTATTAAAAATATATCAAATCGTGACGAACTAATAAATTTTACTATTAACTCATTAAAAATGACACATAATATATTTTTTAATATTAAAAAATAATTTCTGATAATGAGAAATTAATTAAAATGAAAAATTAATCCTTTCTTACCATGAAAGTTTTCCCACATCTCTTCTTCAAGCTTAAACAAACCTTCATCGTCTTCCTCCGAAACCTTCATATCCAATAAAATATCTTTAACACAAACAATGGACCCATCACTCAATTCGCCCTCTTCACATCCACAACCGTTCCTCGGTTGAAACAGCCCTTTCTTCTGTCGCCGCCTTTTCAGGCGAAAAGCACGATGGCACAGCCCTACCGGGACTTTATAGATCACTAGGACCAGAAAGTTGGCTATCCCGCAACGGCAACAACAGCAAACAGCCGCACACTCGACCGTCGTCCCCCCACAAAATTCCTCGAAGTTCGCACTCTTCGTCGGACTGCTTCTATGGCTGCCATCATCAACGTCGGAGAAAGATGTGGGATGGTTTGCAGCTGCGGCTGTGGCCGGTAGACGGTACGGGTCGGGGTCTTGAGGATTATCTGATGTACATAATAAAAGGGTATTTTTGATTCGATATTGGTCTGTTCCTCGTTGAATGATGATGTTTTCAACAGAATCCAAACCATTAAATTACGGCTGCGCAGTGTAATGAAACGGTTTTGAAGGTCATCGCGATACAATATTATCGCAACGTGATAAAATATTTTAGAAATATTATAATTTTGGAAGAATAAATCACGTCCGCAATAATTGTAACACGTTACTAAACGTATGCAATTACGACCTTACAACCGCAATCGCGACACTGTTTTATACTATGATCCAAACAGTGAAACCAAAACACAGCAAAAACAAATAAACGAAAATGGGTAACGAAAATCAGAAACAGAGAAAAAGAAGAATTTTAGAGGAAATGATGTTGCTTTGACTTGTTTGGCGCTATTATTTAGGGTTACCAATGTCTCATTCAACGGCGGTGACCGACACAAATGCTGCTAGAAAACCCCAACCCATTCCTTGGAATCAACAGGAAACCCTCAACCTAATCCAAGCCTACCAAGAGAAATGGTATTCTCTCCAGCGCGGCCAACTCAAGGCCGACCAATGGGAGGAAGTCGCCTTAACCGTTACCACTCGTTGCGGCCTCTTCGACCACCCCGCCTCCAAGGCCGCCGTCCAGTGCCGTTACAAGATGGCGGTGGGAAGAAGAGGGTCAGAGCGGATGAGGGCGGGGATGGTGACGTGGGAGATGTGGGAATGGAGGAAGAAGACGAGATAGGTTGAGCACCTTTGTGGAAATGATTTTCAGAAATAATTTTTAATATTAAAAAATATGTCGGGTGGCAATTATAATTGATTAACGGTAAAATTTAATAGTATGTTATTGTTTAATTCATTTTGAGTAATGGAACGAAATATTAGATATCAAATTAAAATGAAATAAATTTTAAGTATTAAATTAGCAAAATAAATATAAACTGAGCACCTTTTTGTATATTAAGCCTATTTTTTTCCAAACCAATAAAAAATTGAAATCTTCGATAAAGACACATTAGTAAATGGAGACAGCAATTCCATTAAACGTCATTACGTCAATGCTTTAAATAAAATAAATCCGGCGAACCCCGTTTTGCCCTCTCTTTGTTTCCTCCTCTAAAGCCGATAGCTCTCATCGCAATTGCCGCCTCTCACCGCCGTATAATCCGTCGTAAATATCTCCCGGGAAATAAACAATATGTCCGTCGCCCTCCCTCCTTCCCCCAGGGAAGACGAGCCATTTATAGATACCAGAAATGGTAAGTGTAATTTTTCATTTCTTAAAGAAAAAGAGAAGAAAAAATGAAGAATTTGAATTTACTTTTGTTTTTATTTTTTAAAATAAGGTGCTGGAAATGAAGGCATTTCAGCAATGGAGATGGAAGAAGGGACGAGTACTTCGACGAGTTCGAGGAAGGAGAACATCAGATTGAAATGTTTCGGCGTTGATATGTCGCCAGACAATGTCGCAATTGCTATGGTGTATTTCGTTCAAGGCGTTTTAGGCCTTGCAAGGCTTGCCGTTAGCTTTTACTTGAAAGATAATTTGCATCTTGATCCTGCTGAAGTATGTTTCCTTTATCCCCCCCCCCTTTTAATATCCAAGCTATTCATGTTGATAATTTGATATTTCAGTACTTGTTTTAAGTTGTATTAGGCTTGATTCGGTTTTCTTGGATGATAAAATTCGTGATTTTCTTTTTTTTATTACTTAATGGTGGTAGAATCTGTTTTACGTTTTAGGTAATTTGTTTACTCTAATCACTTATGGTTTTGTTTTTACTTAATTTGCTTTCTAGTTACTGGTTTTATTATTTATATGAATTGATGGTGGTAGAATAAATTTTACAGTTGAGTGATTTCTTCATTTTAACCAATTTTGATTTTGTTTTCATTCCTTTTACTTTTGCTTTATAAAAAACTTCAAGATGTTTTTCTTTATTGCAGCTTTTAGAGATGTATTTTTTGTCTTCTATTTTTCTTCATTTTTTGTGTTTGCTACTTGCAGTTTGTATGTTGCTTTTTTCATTTGATAAAAGTAAAAGCAAATGATAGATGTAAAATCAGAATAAATTAAAAAAATAAACGAATAACTTAAAATACAGCACTGATTCTAATGCAGTTGTTTTATCAAGTTCATTTGTTTTTTCCAGAAAGAATTGCATTTCTGATTTTATAATTTAGTTATGAGAAAAGAACTGTTGAGTAAAGTATTGAATTATTTGGCTCTTACACTGTATTAAAGAATGCGTTTCATTTGATAAGTTAAAGCAGCTTAAGACAAGTAATTTAATGAGTTTGCATTGCATTTTATCACATGTATATCTTATGATCTTAAAGAATTGACTGGATATATGTGGTTGACTAGACAGCTGTGATAACTGGTTTTTCTGCACTACCGTGGCTTGTTAAGCCACTTTATGGGTTTATTAGGTACAATTCTGTTATTTACCAATTTCTGTTTCTAATTATCTCTGAGAATTTTGAAATACTTATTCTCTAGAATTGCTTTGAGCAGTACTTTGTTTTGGCAGTGATTCCATCCCACTATTTGGCTACCGGAGAAGGTCATACTTGGTTCTTTCGGGACTTCTTGGTGCTGTTTCATGGAGTCTGATGGCCACCTTTGTTGACAGCAAGTATAGTGCTGCATGCTGCATACTTCTTTCTTCTTTTTCTGTTGCCTTCTCTGATGTTGTAAGTTTCTTCTGCTTTAAGTTATTCACTTAAAGATAACTATTTCTATAGATGGCAATCTAGAGTTGTATGATTTCTTATAGTTATACTTTTCTTTTGATGCTTGTTTTCCCATGATAAGGTTTGATATGTAATCTAAGTTGGCTACATTTCTAATCCAAACTGCCTATTTATCCAACCTTTGCAAGAGAATGTTTTCTGATCTTTTTCCTATATTTGTTAACTTTATCATGAAATGATGTCAAGCTAAGGTGTCTTTAAGAATAAAATAGTAAGTTAATTCATTTAAAAGTCGTAAAGGAGCTCAGCGAGACTTTGTTCATGCTTGGGATCAAATGTAAAGCATAAAATTCCTTGAAATCCTGCTCTAACACATTCATCAATCCGAAAAGAAAAGAACTTTAGTAGATTTTGAATTTGTTGTGACTGATTGATTGTTAGGAGATGCCTTATTTTCTATTGGCAACTTACACACGACTGCATGAGTTTGTTCATGCCGTACACTACAATCAGAAGCATTTTAAATGTTAGTCTTAAAACGATTCTTTGTTCAGCTGTCATGCTATTCATATTCTGGGAATGTTCCTGAATTATGTTAGTAATTGATGCATGGCGTAGGTTGTAGATTCCATGGTTGTGGAGAGGTCACGTGGGGAGTCACAAAGTGTGTCAGGTTCTCTTCAGTCTCTATGCTGGGGTTCTGCAGCTTTTGGTGGAATTGTGAGTTCCTATTTTAGTGGCTCTCTGGTGGATGCTTATGGTGTAAGGTAGTTAGGGTGATTTATGGATGACTCTACGGTATAATTTACAAGAAAAAAAGACAATTTTTGGTTAATCATTTCATTACCAATTTAATGTTTCAGGTTTGTTTTTGGTGTCACTGCATTATTACCACTGATAACATCTGTTGTTGCTGTTCTTGTAAAAGAACAGTGTGTGCTTGGCCCATCAAGGGTGCCAAATGTTCTTTTGGGAAACTCTAGCTTTCTTGAAAGCACAAAAGAGAGAATTATTCAGTTGTGGAATGCATTCAGACAACCCCACGTGTTTCTTCCCACAGTTTTTATTTTCTTGTGGCAGTCAACACCACAGTCGGACTCCGCCATGTTTTTCTTCACGTACGTTCTGTTACTTCGTGTGAAGTCTCTCGTCATTGCTTCATTGTCATGTAGTTTTTGTGTCTCCAACAAAAGGTTATTTTGATTTCAGCACAAATAAACTTGGCTTCACCCCAGAGTTTCTAGGACGTGTCAACCTTGTTACTTCGGTTGCATCGCTGGTTGGTGTTGGACTGTACAATGGATTCTTAAAAAATGTTCCATTGCGGAAGATTTTTCTTGCCACAACAATTTCTGGTTCACTTATTGGAATGACTCAGGTTTGTGTTTTGATTTACTATTGCATAAATTTAAGATCATTTGCATATTGGGCTTATGGCATTATAATATATGTCTATTTATATTTTTTTTCTATTTACTTAGGTCTTTCTTGTCACTGGATTGAACCGGAAGTTTGGAATGAGTGATGAATGGTTTGCAATTGGGGATTCCTTGATTCTTACTGTTCTTGGTCAGGTAATTGAAGTTCTTTCTTCATACGTTTTTCCTTTAATTTTTAGTTAGAATTTGGGACTTGATCTGCCTATGCATATTGTAGGGATGGCCATGGATAGTGTGGATTAGGATATTCTAATTACCATCTACAGTGGATGCGGATATCAACCCTTGGATATCCCTTATCCTAATCCGCTTTACTTTTACAGAAATAGATTTTGATTTGGATATCCGTTATCTGAAACTACTTTACTTTTTCAGATACGGAGTCGGACTTATTATTATTGCTTTTTATTATTTCAATTCTGTCACGGAGTTTGTCTGCGCTTGATATTGGCAGGCTTCTTTCATGCCAGTTCTCGTACTTGCAGCGAAACTATGTCCGGAAGGAATGGAAGCAACACTTTTTGCAACCCTGATGTCCGTATCGAATGGAGGCAACGTCCTCGGGGGTCTGATAGGAGCCGGCCTGACCAAGGCATTCGGCATAACAAGGGATAGATTCGATAACTTAGCCACCTTGATAATCCTCTGCAACCTCACTTCATTGTTGCCGTTACCACTACTTCGCCTTCTTCCACCAGATGATTCCGACGCTGATCCTCAGGTAAAATTTGTTATAAAGATTTCGATACATAAGTGTATTCATATCACATTCGGGGTTTTTTTTTTTTAATCTTATTTTAATTAAGTTTTTTGTATGTACCAAAAATTATCAGGTTGGCAGAGAAAAAGGGGAAGATATCTGTAAATATCATGGAACGGTTACGACTACTAACGACTCATGAAGGTCTTCAGTTCAATTTCGGGTAATTTCATCAAATTAAATCGTTAATTTATAAATTAAGTTATTTATACAATATGGCATTTGATAAACAAATTAACTTAATAAGGCGACATTTTAAGTATATTTGTTTGTAATTAGGATCCATATTTGGCAACACTAGGCCAATATTGTTGGCGCCAAAATTATTTGAGTTTATGGGGGGCCAAAAAAGTAATATGGAATCTACAGTAAATGATACAATGTTTTGTGAAATTTGTCATTCTTTCGTGACGAGTTCTTTTGTGACGAGTTTTATGAGATATAATTTTTTAATTTTTGTTGGTCTTATATTTGTGAGTCCTGTCAGTCACATTTATCGTAGATTTTAGATTAATTTTTGGGCCGTCGTATAAGCTTAATTAATTTCCCTTCTGGATTATTGGACTAATTTTGCTTTATATTGGCATTGTAGCATCCATTTTGGAATGGAAAGAATCAGGACCGAGTAAAAAATTGAGAGATTGAAAAACCAATTAGAACCAAAGTGGATTATATTTTTGTTTGTAATTAGTTTTAACAAAATTATAATTTGTTTCTGTTTAATACAATATCTTAAATATAACACAAAAAAAATACCTTAATGAAACTTTAGCAGAATTAATTGACAAATATAAAGTGACACTATCATCATTAGTGTAAAAATGATGACAATGATAATGAAGCATGGGAAATGGTAGTGTATAAATGATGATTAATAGTTTTAATTGAGTTATAATCAAGCAATAAGCATCTCAACTTATTTCGACAGATTGATATATTATTATTATTATTATTATTATTAGAGAAAATCGCCTCAGTGACCAAAAATACCTTATAATATATGATTTTAACCAATTTTTTTTGGATTTGCCAAAATGACCAATAAAATCGCAACGCGATATCAAAATCGCAACGCGATTCAGAAAATCGCAACGTTAAAAAGAAAATCGCAACGGTCAAAAGAAAATCGCAACGCGAGCTTCCAAGTTCGCAACGCGATTTAGAAGAAAATCGCAACGCGATTGATAGAATCGCAATGCGATTGAGAGAATCGCAATGCGATTTATATAATCGCAATGCGATTGAGAGAGTCGCAACGCGATTTAGAAGAAAATCGCAATGCGACTGAGAGAATCGCAATGCGATTTATAGAATCGCAACGTTGAAAATAAAATCGCAACGGTCAAAAGAATAGTTAAAAAAAATTTGTTTCTTAAGAATTTTCTCTAAAAAGATAGTATCCGCGCGGACGTGTCGAAGACACGTATTACCACTACCACTACCACTACCACTACCACGACCACGACCACGACCACGACCACGACCACGACCACGACCACGACCCCGACCCCGACCACGACCCGACCCGAGACGAGACGGCGGCGGCGGCGCGCGAGAGTCCCCCTTGTCCTCTTTCACTCAACAAGGAAGTGCAAAATACAAGCCTTAAATATAATTCCCAATAGTGTTTCCAATACTATGTGGGATTGAGCATTACCAACACTTGTTCCCAATATCATTATTCTTCATAAGTTATCATCCATTACAATATGAATTATCGATAATAAATTAATTCATTTTAATAAGTATTTAAAATTATAACTTGATAAATACATGAAATAATTCTATTATTAAATAAAAAATATATTTTTATATTAAAATTATTGAGATAGATATTTACTATAAAAGTAAAAGATTTTTTTTTCACGTACAACCTCTATGTGAATTAGTTTCACAATAAGGTATCGGTTATGCATTGGATTCTTTCGTATTAGATGGTCTTTAATAAGATCATCATCATCATTCTTTTGTTCAACAATACCATATATTAATGAGGTATATTGGTTCATTAACACGACTAATTCATATTGTAATGGATGATAACTTATGAAGAATAATGATATTTGGAACAAGTGTTGGTAATGCTCAATCCCACATAGTATTGGAAATACTATTGGGAATGGTATTTAAGGCTTGTATTTTGCACTTCCTTGTTGAGTGAAAGAGGACAAGGGGGACTCTCGCGCGCCGCCGCCGCCGCCGTCTCGTCTCGGGTCGGGTCGTGGTCGTGGTCGTGGTCGTGGTCGTGGTCGTGGTCGTGGTCGTGGTCGTGGTCGTGGTCGTGGTAATACGTGTCTTCGACACGTCCGCGCGGATACTATCTTTTTAGAGAAAATTCTTAAGAAACAAAATTTTTTTAACTATTCTTTTGACCGTTGCGATTTTCTTTTTAACGTTGCGATTCTCTCAATCGCGTTGCGATTCTCTCAATCGCATTGCGATTCTATAAATCGCATTGCGATTCTCTCAGTCGCATTGCGATTTTCTTCTAAATCGTGTTGCGACTCTCTCAATCGCATTGCGATTCTCTCAATCGCGTTGCGATTCTATCAATCGCGTTGCGATTTTCTTCTAAATCGCGTTGCGAACTTGGAAGCTCGCGTTGCGATTTTCTTTTGACCGTTGCGATTTTCTTTTTAACGTTGCGATTTTCTAAATCGCGTTGCGATTTTGATATCGCGTTGCGATTTTATTGGTCATTTTGGCAAATCCAAAAAAAGTTGGTTAAAATCGTATATTATAAGGTATTTTTGGTCACTGAGGCGATTTTCTCTTATTATTATTATTATTTAACAGTGAAGTTAAGAAAGTTGTGAAACCATTGATAACACACACTTTGAATGAAGGCGGAGTTATTCGAACTTAAAATCTTAAAGGAGAATAATACTCTTTAATCACTAAGATTATGTAATAAATAAGTTTTTATTTAATATTTTAAGATAACAATAATCAAAGGTACATAATGATTTTAAAAATATTCATAGAATTTAGGGGGAGAAGTTATTCCTATAAAAGGGTAAGTTATGCGTTTAGTGCCTAAACTATCAATTTTGGTCTATTTTAGTACTTAAACTTTTTTTTCAAAATTTTACTTAAAGTTTAATTTTTGTATTATTTTAGTATCAATGTTCAAAAGTTAACGTTAAGTTTTGAGAAAAATGGAAGTTTAGGTACTAAAACGGATTAAAATTGATAGTTTAAATACTAAAAGCGTTAAGTTTTTAACAATGAGATACCAAAATGAAACAAAAATTAAACTTTAGGTATGATTTTAAAAAAAAATATTAGGTTGTAAAATAAACCAAAACTTATAATTAACATACCATGTAATTTACCCTAAAAACCCCCTTATATTAGATATTTTCACAATATTTTAGGAACAAATATATTTATAAAAATATTTTCAATAAATGATCACATGTAGAGTGATAAATGTTTTGTATATTTTCAATAAATAGTGAATCAGTATCCTTTAAAATTGATTTTCAATCATTTTCTAACCAATTTTACACTGAATTAACTTAAATACCTACACAATTAGGGATTTTATTGAAGATGTATATTAGGGGTGAGTGTTCGATCGACTCGAGACGAGTAAAAAAATTTCGAGTTATTCGAGTTGACGAATCCTATTTTACAACTCGGAGTTGACTTGAAATTTTTTCGAGTCGAGTCGAGTCGAATTCTCGAATTTGTGTTTAAATTTAATTATCAATATTTATAATATTATGATACTATTTGATTTCAATTTAAATGGTTTTTTTATTATCATATAGAATACATATATATATAACAATCCATTCCTGTGTGATTTTTGATTAAAAAATACAATACATATATATTTCTTTCATATGTGATATACATATATTATACAAAATTGAGGGGTTCGACTCAAACTTGAAAATTCATTAACTAATTACTAAAAATTTTGAGTTATTCAAGTTGTATTTTACAACTCGGTTTGAACTTGAATTTTTCCCGAATCGAATTTATAAAATTACAACTCGAAGTTATTTTGAGTTGAATTTTTTCAAATCGAGTCGAGTTCAAAAAATTGATTTTTCGAGTCGAGTTTAAAAAATTGATTTTTTGAATAGAATTTTACTCACTAATGTATATAATTAATTGAGTTGGGGGAGGAAAGAAAATAAGCCTTGGAATTAACAGAATTATGGGCAGGAGAATGCATGTGCTGTCCATGTGATGAGCACTGAATTTGGTCCTTTTTCCCTAAACCTCTCCCTGTAAAAGTTAGAATCTATGACCTCTTGTCAAATTATAATTTCTCTAATATTTAGTCTTTATTGGTATCTTTGTCATAAAAATATTTGATTTAAAAGTTGTATATGCTTAGTAATTCATATTCTATACAAAATATCATCAATGTAAAATGGATTTATAAATAATCAAGTCCAGCACGATTAATATTTTAATTTATTTCTTATAAAAGAAGGGAAATAGTTATTTGTAGGGGTTGATTTTTCGGTTTTAATCGAATTAATCGATCGAACTGAAATAGTTCGGTTAATTCGGTCGACCACCGAATTGGTTTGTCAAGGAACAGTCCATATTTTTCAATATTCAATGAACGGTTAGTTTAGTTCGAAATCGGTTAATTAACTAAATTAATCAAAATTATTAAATATTAAATATATATATATTAAATACATATTTTAAACTCAAACTCACTAAGAATTAAGATCCAATTATTTTTTAGCCACAATAGACTCATTAAATTCTTAATACCTAATTTAAATTTTAACCCAAATAAAAATACTTCAATTATACTTAAATTAATCTAATTAAAAATTATAAAAAAATTCGGTTGATTTGGTTATTCGACCGAAATAACCGAATTTTATTTGGTTCGGTTAATATTTCAAAAAAAAAAGTTTGATTCAGTTAAAGGTTAAAGAAAAAAGTTCGGTTAATTTGTTAATGGAAATTCGATTCGATCGATGACCGAATTAACCGTTTGAAGACCCTTAGTTATTTGATATTTAACTCGAAGCTTAAAATCAATTAGAATTAAAACAATATTCTTTATCAGTGTAGAATATGTTCGATTAACGATTCAAGATATTCCTTAGGTGTGCGTTTGGTTCACGGAATGTAAGATTACCGGTGGGAATAAAAGATTATCAAGGAATAGGATTATTGGGAATGTTGTATTTTGTGTTCGGTTGGTTTAGCAGGACTGTAAGATTACTATGTTTGGTTGATTTAGTAGGAATGTAAGATTATCGTGTTTGGTTAAAGGAATAAAAGATTATTGGAATGTATATTTGACCAAATTGTCCTTATTATATATTTGTTTTTTTAACAAGTTGGAAAATATTTATATTTTTTCTTTTAAAAAAATTAAATTCATAAAATTTATATAATTTTTTTACAAAATTGAAAATATAAAAAGGTTTAATGAAAGGGTAAAATTTTATTTTAACCCCTGAACTTCATATAAAATTTTAATTATAGACTTTTTTTTGTAAATCTAAAATAGTTTAAGGATAAATTTGTGATTTAACCTTCGTAAAAATTTTATTATTCAATGACAGATGAATGATATTTTTGGAAAAAAAAAAATTTAAGGGCATTTTAGTCTAAAACATCAGTAATCCAACAATACCTAAGGGAATGAGGGTAATGACATTCCCGGTAATATACCCAAAAAAATCAACTATTGGTAATAAAACATTATCGGGAATGACATTCTCGTCCAACCAAACGGGGGAATGTGGATGGGAATCCCACATTCCCCGATCCAAACAGCCCCTTAAGAGAAAATAATATTCTCTTGAACTATCGAGTTCACTCAACGAATTCTTTTTACAATATTTGATAGTATTGAATAGGGTAAATTATATATTTAGTATCTAAATTATCAGTTTTGGTCTGTTTTAGTACCTAATTTTTTTAACTTTTTTCAAAACCATACCTAAAATTTAGTTTTTGTTTCATTTTAGTATCCATGTTCTAAATTTAACATTAAGTTTTAAAAAATTGAAAAGTTTAGGTACTAAAACGGATCAAAACTGATAGTTTAGATACTAAACGCAATATATTTTTAACGACGATATACTAAAATAAAACAAAATCTAAATTTTAGGTATGATTTTGAAATAATTAAAAGTTTAGATACTAAAAATATCAAAATTGATAGTTTGTATGCTAAAAAGCGTAGTTTACCCTATTCAAATATTTCAACGAGAACACGTTGTAAGAGTCATCTCCAAATGATAAAAATGTCATGCCTGTTCCATTAATGTAGTTTGGTAATACCTATAAATAGAAAGAAAAACAAACAAAATTTCATACGAAAGCTCTATTAATATAATCCGATATTATTGTAAATATATATTAACTTTTAATCTAAAATTTTAATATTATAGTAAATTTGAATATATATTTTAAAATCATTATTTTTAATGTCATGTTTATATTATGTAATCATGTTAATTTAGAGAGAACGATGGATACCTCTCAAGACATTCACTAAGAACACTGATGACGATTGAAATTTCTAGACTTTTACCAGGCAATTACTTAAAATGGTTTCAATGATAAAAATACATTTTTTTCTTTAGATGATTTGAATTCGAATAATGTAATATGTATGCGTATACACGTGAACGTAAAAAATTAATTTCGAACATATTTAAATATATAATGTTTTTATTTAAAATTTTAAGAAAATATAAATAATTAAAATATATAGAAATATTTTTAAATTTTTATTTGAATTTTTTATATTGATGTGTGACATGGAGTTTAAATTAAAAATTTTCATGACCTTAGTCTTTACCCCTAATTATTTTGTGAATAATAGTTGCATCAATTTAATTAAATACTAATTAAATATCAAAGCCCTTTGGGTAGTTTGTTTGGTAAGAGAATTATTATAATTTTTTTATTTAGATCAGAATTTTATTTAATGAATAAATAAATTAAGAGAAAAATGACAATTTACGTAGATAGAAAATTTTTATTTAGTTAAGATTATTGTATTCGTAAAATTGTATTACGATGTTCATTGTTAAAAAAAAATATTATTAAAATAGATTTATCTAAATATTATCTTGACCCGAACATAATTATCTCAAATTATCAAACAAAGATAATTATTATTCTTTTTTTTAAAAATAATAATTAGAGTAAATATAGATTTAGTATCTAACGTATCAGTTTTGATCTATTTTAGTATATAAACTTTATTTTTTTTCAAAACTATACTTAACGTTTAGATTTCATTCATTTTAGTACCCGCCGTTAAAAACTTAACGTGTTTAGTACCTAAACTATCAATTTTGGCCCGTTTTAATACGTAAACTTTTAATTCTTTTCAAAACTTAACGATAAATTTTGAAAGGGATATTAAAATGAAACAAAAGTTAAAGTTTTTTAACGGTGGGTACTAAAATGAAACAGAAACTAAACTTTAAGTATGCTTTTGAAAAAATTGAAAGTTTAAGTACTAAAACATATCAAAATTAATAGTTTAGGTGCTAAATATGTAATTTACCAAAAAATATTGGGGGAGTTTTGAATGCTAGAAAGGGCCCCTATGCCTAGCCCTCCCTTCTTGATTAAATTGTCACAATTTCCACTTGGCCTTGTCTCTGAGAACATGGAGTAAATAATGGAACCTTCCTCACCAGCTAAACTCCAAAGCACTTTTCTTTCAAAACTAACCATAAAACCTACCTCTCATGCAAACACCAAACATGTTCTTACACTTTTTATACCAACAAAAAAATAATCAAATCTCAAGGAAGAAAACATAGGCAAAAGTGGGGGGGGGGAACAACAGTCAAATCCAACTATAAAACCAGCCTTAACACCATCAAATACTTCGCTTTATAACAAGGAAGAAAGAAAAGAAAAGAAGAAAGAAGCTAACCCCATCCTTCTTCAACCTTGAAGCAAAGTGAGGAGAAGGAAAAATGGAGATTGAATCAGTTAGATGTGAGTGTTGTGGATTGAAAGAAGATTGCACCCAAGATTACATCAATGGTGTTAAGGCCAAATTCGATGGGAAATGGCTCTGTGGGTTATGCTCAGAAGCTGTTAGAGATGAAGTTAGTAGGAGCAAGAAGAAGCAATTCGGTGTTGAAGAAGCTGTTGAAGCTCACATGTCGTTTCGTGGCGAATTCAAATCCAATCCGGCGGTTCGAGTAGCCGACGGCATGAGGCAGTTGCTGAGAAGGTCGGGAGGTAATTCACCTTCTTCTTCTAAGAAGTTCACCAGATCAGCTACCACAAAACTGTACTAATTGCTCCTAAAAAAACAAAGAAAAAGAAGAGGAAAGGCCTTTACTTCAGATGGAATAATATTAGTAGCTCTACCTTTTACAACTTGTCTTGTGCAGGAGATGTTATTTAAATGAAGGCTTCTTCCTCTTTCTGTTTTTGCTTTCCTTTCGTACCTCAAAGTTGATATGTGGTATGTATTTTCCTCCCATCTTTTTTTTTTTTTTGCAAGATCTTGACTTTGATTCAAACATCCAGCAAAACACAAATTTTTTTTTCATTTTTTTCAGTGACATTTGTTTAAAGTTATTGGTTTTTCTTCCCCATGCTGATGAATTCTTGAGTAATGAGCAAGGAATTTGACAATGGAAAATGAGCTACTGACTAATTGATTCTTAGACAATAGACAGTGAAAAGCAACAAATCTGAACTTTTCAGTAATAAAGCAGTAAACGTCAACTTTCCACTACACTAGAAAGACTTAAACCAACACTATTTCCATATGGTTCAATAATTTGGGCTAAATTATGGTTAATTTCCCACTACAAGCAGTAACCTGTTTTGAAAAAAGTAAAATGTTCCTTAGCAATAAGGTGCAAAGCCTTTCCATGATCTTGATGGTGATAGGAATATATAATCAGATAAGTTTTTACTTAAATATGGAGCTTTAAATCTTAAACCATATCATGGTAAGATGTTCAATACGTGCTATTGACATGTTCGCGGGGCCACTTTCAGGAAAGAGGATCTGATCGCGGACTTATGAGTGCTTCGGATGAGATTTTTCGAAAGAAGACTGAATTGGTGGCATCTTCCTGGAGCCATCCTCCTCCGGGTTCCTTAAAATTTAATGTAGATGGAGCTGTGAGATCGGACGGAGGGGCGGGGGGAATCGGGGGTGTCCTCCGGAACAATTCGGTTGAGTTGCTTCTCTCGTTTTCGTTAAGTATTGGGAATGTTTCATCATTGATGGCTGAGGTGATGGCGGTGGAGCAAGCCTTAGACAGGTTTATAGCTTCGAATTGGTCTGTTAATTATAGGCTGGTAATTGAATCGGATTGTGAAGTATTGGTTAATTGGCTGTCGAATGTCTCTATGGTTCAGGGGGAATGGTCCACCGTGATTCTTCCTATTGCTTCCCTTATGGCTCAGTTAAAGGCGGTTATTAATTTCGTTCCTAGAAGATGCAATGCCATGGCGGACTGGTATGCCAAAAAGGCAATAGGGTAGAGGGTTTTTTTTCAGGCAGAGTGCAGGTGCCAACGAGATTGGGGTGCTGGTGGGTCTTGCTTCTGTTAAGGAGTGGTGCATTCTCGGGTTGAGGGAGAAGATTGCTAGGCCTTAGTGGAGTTAGAGGTTGAGCTGCTCGGTTAGGTAACCTATGTATAGCATTTGTCCGTTCGTTCCCTTTGTTTTTCACACGAGCCATTTTCGTTCAAGTGTATTTCGGTTAAGGTGCACTCTTTTTCCTTCAATTAGGGTTAGGAAGGTTTTTTAACGAGGCTCCTTCCGAAATGTAACGATAGTTATGCTTCTAAATAATTTTTCTTACCTTTCAAAATAGAAAAAAAGACAAATGTTCTATACAAGTTGGAAGCAAAAAGTCCCACACATTAGGCCATCGATGTAAACAGATGCAAGACTATTGATCACAAATTGTAACATCAAAAAACACCCATCACATGTTTCTTGAAAACATGTAAGAGAAAAATCTTCTGGGATCATTTTGCTTAGTAACAGAATTTGAGTGTCCTAAGCAGGCATCCCCAACCAGTTAGGGAACTAACTTAATCATGTTCCATGTGATTCACTAAATCGGTTATAGATCGGTCAACCTTATACTTAGTTTTTAGAGGGTTCCTTGCCTAATCTTAACAGTTAACCAATGACATGGAATCTGATTCTTGGTATGCTGTGAAAGAAGATACAGATTAGTGTTTTCTAGTACATAAATTATTGGATGCTTTCTGATGAAGGCAATTAGGATTTAAGCAAAATATGCACTAGAATCATGCAATTTCAACTTATGTACCTTTCAATACACAAGTGTCCAAGGGCATGAGTCGTATTATCCCGCAAGATAACTAAACTTCGAAGAAGGATCTTGTTCTTCCTAATGGATACAACATCCAATCACATAATACTTAAACATTGTAGAATTTCTCTGTTTAAGATAAAAACCAGAAGAAAGGCTCAAGAGATGTCGCAAGTAGTCTTGAAGTACCATTGGCTGGCTCTTATGGTCTTATGGATGTCCCGAAAACTCTTAACACTTTCCAAATGCACGAGTAGTTCTGGCTCTCTGTTTTTATTGAAGTACCATTGGCCGGCTCATGGATATGAAGATATGGCTCTCAAGATCTATATACATGGAAAAACTTAGAAAAACCTGACAACACCCGTGTCAGACACATACAATCCGATACTCACACACGAATCCGAGCAACATAGGTTTCCCCCATTGATGAGCACATAACTGAGTGCTAATTTCTCACTATGCCAAACTATGGGGATTAGGAGCATAACCTATAAGCTTCAATTCAACAACCAGCTCATGCTTGTTTCAATTCCTATCTGCCACTAAAAACTCATGCAAGCCTTTTCCTTATATATACCTCTTTCTTTCATTAATGGCCTCAAATCCCAATATCTTTCCACTTCCTTTGGCTAAATGTCTGGTAATACTACAAGAGTCCATAAAAATTTGGCTCCTATTTCAGTCTCACCATGAATTTGACAAGCAGCCATTCGGGATCTCCAAATGACAACAATAGGTGCCAAAGGCATTTTTTTCACTACAATCTCGACAGCTACACTCGAAGTTAGCAAGGAAGAAACGATTGATCATGCAGCAGTAAGTTCAGGTTTAGGAGGGATCATGGATACAAAATGGCTACAAGCATAAAGCACTCTCATTAATGGACTCAACATGGCCTCTCTCATTTCGAGAAAGAAGCCTAGAGCACTATTGAGATCCCCATCTATACCAAGTGTGTTGATCATAATAATCTAAGATATTACATTTCTTCTTGTTATTTTCTCAAAAACTCCACTTGCTCTTTCTAAACTCCCACATTTAGAACACATATCAATCAGCACTATCAATAGGCAAAGCTCCTCCAAAACCGTTCATATCAACACATACATGTATCCATTTGGTTATCTAATACAGCAAGATGCACATCAACTGGTATATCACTCAGAAATTTTACCTGATCAGGTTTCCTTCCTAGAGCGTTCGGCCCAAACGATCAAAAAAATTCTCGAGTTCGATCACGTCACCATTACAAAGGTGTCAAGCATTCTCAACCTGTGTGCATCGAACACCCCTAAACCGTTACAACAGTGTCACATGACCAAACAATTGCCGAGCCATATCCATGCAACCACAACTTGCATACATAGCCATAACAGAACTATCTTTTGGATAGTCATGCACTGCTTTCCCATAATTTAGATTCCCTGCACGACAACAAGCAGAAAAGAACACAGGAAAATAATAAACTCAAGCTCAATATTAGCCCTCTTCATCTCATGAAGCTCCAATGCATCTAATGCATATTATGCTTTAGAATAAGTTGCTGAACATAACAAGAACAAGTGCTAAAGAAAATATAATATTATACCATATTCAATTGAAGTTGAATAAAACAACAAAATGCAAATTTATTTGAGAATGAAAAAGCAAAATTATAGCTTTCTCTATTAACAAAATAGTATTCAACATTTGATTACTCAAAATCATTATCTAAATTGCACCTTGTTATACCCCCAATAATAATACATTAATGAGACTCACCCAAGTTTCCCATCAGCAGTCGACCTATGTCCAGTAACTCCCATCAGATGCTCTGTCATCACCAGAGCGTTCATCTATGCTCTCAAACATCCACCGTGCTCATGGTCATCGATCACCATTTTCGCGATTTTTGGTCTAAATTAAAAGAGGTGAACCGCCAAATGTTAGATATTTGTACTGCAAAATCGAGAAGTTAATACTAACAGGACAACAATAATAAAATGAAAAAGGAATTTGTAAACTGTATCGTAGTAAATCATTGAATGCAAATTCAGACCAATTGGTGTAATAGTTACAATGAACATGTTCCCCGAGATTAACACAGTATTTCTGAATTAGTACGTCCAAAACTCGAAAATTAATAAGGTGGTACTACTCTTCTCTAAAGCAAACTCGAACAAAATATTTAGAAAATTACTAGCAAAAACGATATCCATCTATAATAATACTCCATGCATCAATATTACCGATCAGACATTTTATCAAACACCAACCAGACGTTCTGGGATTATTTTTTCGGCAGACGGCAAGCGTATGAACAAGTGCAACAAAAACCATATTTCTTTCTTATTTCCCTTTTTTCTTGCGTCTTAACATGATCACGTTAAAAGGTATGATTTTTTTTGTTGTTGAAGGAATGGATTGCAGATTTGAACCAAAAATGCAGAACATCACTAAAACACGATTGCATCAATGTTAAATGATTTATCACAAGCTTAAAGTATGATCCTTTTTTCTCAACTAAACTTTGGGTGCTTCTAAAGGCGGATAAAGTCTTAAAAGCAGCTAACAATCATGCTGTAAATGTGATTAACCTCATAATTGTATCCATAACTTTTGAGAACATCAAATCTGTGATTTTTTTTTTTTTGCCTTTTAAGGCTCTTTGCTTTTCTTGCTTTCTCTCAACCTAAAGAGACATTGGCAAGGTCTTCGAATATCTAATTTTGAGTTTTATCATATATATATATATATTCTTAATTTAAATTTATTTCAGCTTAAATGGAATATGTTTAATAATTAAAATTTTATAATTTCGAAATCTTAACTATTTAATATAAATTTTAAAATCCATTCTCTCACGTAAACTTGTCCCTCGTTACAATTATGTAATAAAGATATATTCTATTATTATAATAAAACATTACCATTACCATTACCAAATTGATAGAATCTATTAGTAACAATGACGAAATATGTAATTATACTAAATATTTTAACTACCACATCGGCTTCTTTGTTAAATTATTTAACGACAAGTGGCTTA